GATTTTTATAATAGCAATAAAGTTTACAAATGGCAAAAGACAAGCTTATTTACTCCCAGAAGATCTTATTCTTCATGCCAATTCTTAGTCACATATAGATTGTAAGATACTTTGGAAACCATTTACAAGCCAGAAAGACCCCAAGGAGAGAGATTCAATAGAAAGGATTTTACAAAAATCTATCTGAAGGATTCCTAATCCATAGATTAAAAAGGCAGGCTTAGTGTCGGTATAGAAAGATTTGCATTTTATCCATTCCTGGAGCAAAGGTGAAGCCCAATCTGGGATCAGGCAGAAGCGAGAAGAGGGAGGGTTTATTTTAAGGTATTATAGTTCACTGGGTTGTTTGCCCCAACAGGAACTTCCAGGCTAAGGGCTATCTCCAGCTTACTCTCAAGGGCCACAAGCTATCCCAGACCTAGTGAGTCACTGAATCCTGTTTTTCTGAACCCAGGCTCTTTGGTAGGCCCTACTGAGCCACGTGTTTGCCGCTGGTTTTGAAGATGTTTCGTGGTCTTCTCCACTGCTCTGCTTCAGTACAAAGGCCAAGTTCTCCTGCACTCACAGCCACCGCCTGGTTCTTAGCTGCCGCCAGCATCTCCCTGGTTTCCAGCAGCTGTTCACTGAGGAGCTGAGAGAACTCCGTGGGAAGCAGAGGCTTTTCCTCTTCCTTCAACATAATCTGTTTAGAAGTGCCCTAGAATACAAAGGTATCTCAAACACTTTGAGGGCAAATGGAAGTATGGGTGAGCCTTTGGCACAGTAGTTAAGAAGCCGCTTGGTCTGCCCAAATCTCATCGGAGTACCTGGTTTGAGTCCCGGCTCCTCTGCTTCCAGTTAATCTCCTGTTAATGTATACCTTGGCGGCAAATGATGGCCCAAGTACTTGGGTCCCTGCCCAGCATGTGGAAGACCTGGATGCAGTTCCAGGATGCTGGTTCCTGCCTACTGTGAGACTTTGGAAAGGGAACCCATGAATGGAAGATCTCTTTTTCTCTGTGTCTCTGCCTTTCAAAAACAATAAAATTAAATCAACACAATTTTAAAAGGAAAATGGAATTAAAATAGTTCATTTGGGTACAAAAATTTTTTGAACTATGCATGCATAGTGTTTTCATAATATCCGTTTTCTATGAGCTAGTTGAAGACCTCCTGTTTGTTGTCTATGTTCTATCTGTAGATTTCTTGCATTCATTCAGGAAGTTCAAAAATATCAATGATACAATGAATTATATCAGTAGGAGCCACTGCAACATTCTATAGGCAGTCCATTCTATATGGACTTCACGGACACAGAAATCAGCTAAAGAGTTTCCCTGGGATGCTAATGGTGACGGGAAATTTCCTGCTTGATTGTTTTCCTTCCTCATCCCACAAACACAAGTTTTCATTTCTCCTTGTCTTCCTCCTAGGACTTCAGATTTCTCCCAGTACAATTTGAACGTCCTTGACCCTGACCCTGGCTGGAATCTGATTGACCTTGGCACTTGTCTCCTCTGCTCAGAGGAAAGTGTGTATCACAAGTCCGTGTAAGCAGAAGGAAGCTCTGATGGGGAGAAACGCCTGGTGCTTGCTCCCAAGAGACAAGAGTTAGCAGTTGTTGCCGGCAACCATTCGGCAACAGTGAGGACCCAGGCTGAAGAAGCAGCTGACCTTGGGTGGGGTACAGTAGAGAAAAGGAGATGGACTGCAAGGCCTTCCTGACATTGTTGAGCTTCTGAGTCAATCCTCGTGTGACACTCTCCCAACTCTGATCTTCCCACCTATAACTTCCCTCTCATTGTTTAAGCCAATGTGAGTCGTGTTTCTGTTACACACAGTCAGTAGCATGCCCAGTGATACAAGGGCAAGCAGGACAAAATTAAATGCTGCCCCCTAGATGTTCATCTACTTTTCCATGCAATTCTCTAGGTTTCTTTTCCAACAGGAAAATGAAATATTAGGCCTGCCTCTTAATGATCTTAATTATCAGAGACCCTAAAAAATTTACAGGAATCTATCCAAAATAATTTGGGGTCAGGATTTGAGCTCTAGATGTGTCTGTTGTCTGTAAGATTCCTGGGTGTTTACTGAACAGTGCCCCAGCCATCTGGAGGGGAGGGGTCACCCAAGAAACACCCCAGCTTTCCCAGGATCATCGAACCTGAGGATGAATTTGGGGCCCTGCCAATAAGAGGTCTCTGTCAGACCAAGAGCAGGACGACTTACGACTTCCTACACAAGCACTCCTCTCCTTGACCTTACACTTCTGCCTCCTAGAGGTGCTCAGTGAGCATTTAGGGATCAGCCAGCTAAGACAACTCATGATACACAGCTCCTTCCTTTTACCATGAAGGCTCTGGGAGAAGAGTCCTGGAAGGATTCCAGGGTCTGCAGAGCCAGTGTTTGAGCACTAGATCACTTAAATGTGTTGGGTATACTGCTTTTTTTAAAAAAAGATTTATTTATTTATTTGAAAAGCAGAGTTACACAGAGGCAGAGAGAGAGAGGTCTTTCATCCGCTGATTCACTCCCCAGAAGGCTGCAATGGCTGGAGCTGCGCCAATCCAAAGCCAGAAGCCAGGAGCTTCTTCCGGGTCTCCCACATGGGTGCAGGAGCCCAAGCACCGGGGCCATCTCCTACTGCTTTCCCAGCCCATAGCAGAGAGCTGGATCGGAAGTGGAGCAGCCAACACTCAAATCGGTGTCCATATGGGATGCCAACACTGCAGGTAGTGGCTTTATCCACTAAACCACAGCGCCAGCCCCAGGTATATTGCTTTAATAAGTAAACTTATTGATTTATACTCTATCCTCCAAACTGATTTCAGGTGGCTTTAAAAATATTTGGGATAAGCAAGAGTAAGAAAATAGATTAAATATATTAAAATAAAGGTAAAGAATCAGGAAAGAAAATAAGTAAAGGGTAAGATTAGCACATAAAATGGCTTCTTAATATCTTAGCACACGCTGTAGATGGACAACAGATTCATCTCTGACCTCCCAAATGAGCCAAAGTAAAGAACAAACGTGCCTCTAAAAGATCCAAACGTCCAACAGATTGTTTTACAGGAAAGAAAAGAAAGGAAACAAGCAAAAGCAGCCCCTCTTCCTGGGAAAACTTTCTCCTGCAATAATTTATGAAGAGAATATTGTTTAGCAGAATGCCCCTGAGAGTAATTTCTAGAAAACACATCAGTGTTGTTGACACATAACCTCCAGATACTTTCAACAGAAATGGACCCAGGGGAGGCATTGAGCACTCTGGTTGGAGCACACCATTCTTTAATGATCTGCCTTGGTCCAGCCAAATGGTTTACCATCTTTATTTAGATATCAGGACTGTGTGTGATGTTAGGGAATTCTCTGAGGATACGCCTTGCACAGACGGGCTTTGAAGAGAACACTGCAATTTGGGATTTTATTTTCTTGCAATAAGCTAAGGCACAAATATTCATTGTTTCTAATGAAGGGCCACATCATAAGAATTGGCAACTAGAGAACAGTAAAGGGCTGACATCATCTCGTGAAATTAAAAAACAAAACCAACAAACGAAACAAGGCTCATGACTAATAGTCCCCATCCCAGGTCTCCTCTGAAGGGACCTAAGACTTTCCAGGAGGGGTGTACCCCAGCATGGGCACACAGGGGCGACTGTGGCTCACAGACACAAATGAAGCAGGAGCACGAGTAGCATATTTGCCAGAAAATCCCCAATTGAAGGAGCGTCTGCTGGGGGTTCTACACAGAGAAGTGGTAGAAGGATCCCTGACCCTGCCGAACTTAGAGAAACAATGCCTTCTTCATCCAATAGTTGTAGGCAGCTAGTGTTGTACGGACTGACTTGGTTTTCACCATGCACAGGTTAGACAGAGGCTGATGGAATTTATTTCTAGAAGGTCATTAAGAGAATTTTCTTAACTCAGACAAATCCCATCCACCTGCGGGGCTCATCCCGATGCTCCTTCCTCTGTGATGTGTTCGTGCATCTAAGGCAGCCTCTTCTTCGGGAGGACCCTCAGCACCCCGAGCCCCACTCTCCATGCCCCTCAGCCCTGGCAACATGGTCAGTGCTGTGCCCTCCGCCTGTGCACATTCCTGCTATCAGAGCATCCCTACCCCTTCGGTCCCCATATGGGATGCATGGCTTGTGTTTCTCTATCTCATGTGGATTGAACTGTGAGCCACCTAGCTGATCCTGAAGGAACTAGTCCTCTATATGAACTGCACATGTGTCATCCGGGTAACCAAGTGTTGGAGAGCAGGTGGTAGGCTGGGCTGAGAGGCAGGTTCGTCTCCGAAAAGTTTGCCCTTGCAGTGGGACTGGTTTGTTCCAGGTAATCTATATTTATCACCAGGGCACTAACATTGCAAAAATAAAGCAATCGTACTCCAGTGACAGAGCCAAATATGATGTCACTCTAGGAAGCAAATGGCATTGGTAGTCATTACTGCATATATCATTTGCTTGATAAAAGCTGCATTTCAAGGTATTGGAGCACAGCAGGAATTCGGTGTCAACAACCTGCCATTGCTAGCTCAATTAAGTAGTCATCTGGCTACTATATCTAGAAAGCGTGTGTAGGCTCCAGAATGTATGGAGAGCTCTACATGGCGTGTTTGTCATCAAGGGACACCACCGCCCAGGAGCAGGGCAGCAGCCACTCTTGACGAGAGCCACGGAGATGTAAGAGTGCTGGACTGAAGTTACTTATGCCTTCCAGAAGCTCAGGTTTGCTCAGGTTGCCTAATGAGAATAACGTAGAGAGCTCTGCTAATTTGCCATTACTTCTCCCTTCCTCTTCCCTAAGCAAAAGAGTTAAAAGAGCCTTTGCTGGGATCTTTTTCAGAATTCCTCCTTCTGTGGAAGGCACTCATTGCTTTCAACTGTGGCTTTGAAAACAGTGATGACAGCTTGTGTTTATTGTGCATTTACTACATCCTAGAAGTAACAGACATTTTACAAACATTTTATTAATTGAGATGAAAATATACGTGTAGAGCCGGCGCCGTGGCTCAATAGGCTAATCCTCCACCTTGCGGCGCCGGCACACCGGGTTCTAGACCCGGTTGGGGTGCCGGATTCTGTCCCGGTTGCCCCTCTTCCAGGCCAGCTCTCTGCTGTGGCCAGGGAGTGCAGTGGAGGATGGCCCAGGTGCTTGGGCCCTGCACCCCATGGGAGACCAGGAAAAGCACCTGGATCCTGGCTCCTGCCATCGGATCAGCGCGGTGCGCCGGCTGCAGCGGCGGCCATTGGAGGGTGAACCAACGGCAAAGGAAGACCTTTCTCTCTCTGTCTCTCTCTCTCACTGTCCACTCTGCCTGTCAAAAATAAAAAAAATAAAAATAAAAAAATATATATATATGTGTATTTGTGTGTGTGTTGCCCATTGTGTTTAAGATGTATATACATACTCGTACAAGTTTATACTTGTACCTGTTTTATGAACAAGAAAACCAATGCTCGGAGCGATAAGAAACTTGCCAACTATGGCACAGTAGAAAAAAAGACAGTTTGGTCTGGCTACTTCTGAAGCCACTCTTGCTATCACACACCATGGCTGCCTCCTTCTACTGTTTGCTCTGCTTATTTTAATCCCCATCCTCTCCTCCTGGATCTTCATAGTCCTTGCAGTCTCCTGCTCTTGCTGCCCATGGAAATGGGCTAACCCAGCACCTGCTTTCTGGAGATGTCCTGAGTCTGCTAAATGCGTAAAACAAAAGTCAACAGAAAGGACGAGAAGAACGGGAAGACACTGTGAGACCACGAGGATGGCCCCTGTCTGGTTTCCTGAACTCCTTCATGGTTTGCTGGCTCCTGTCCTCCTAAGAGTTGTTTATTTCCCTGCCTAGACTGGAGCCCACTAGGCTGCAGCCAAAAGACCACAGGGCTTTGCTGATTTTGAGAACTGCTTGCAGGAAAAAGTGAGGAGGGTGCAGGCAGCCTGGGCTGGGCCGGGGGCCCCCACACATCAGATTCTCCCATCAGACTTCCAGGCTCTCTTTTGTACCTGAGATCCGCTCTGCAGTCAGTGGGAGGAATGGGCCTCATGACTCCGTTAAAGAGATGAGACTCTGAGAACTCCACAGGGGTGCGCAAGTGGACTTGCTCAGCCCAAGTGAGCAGTTTCAAAATGGATATTTGGGAGAAGTCCTGGCAATACACAAAATATGTGTGCAGGAAACATAGATAGCATGCTTGTCCAAGGGAGTAAAAACATTTACAATGTCTTCTATTGATAACTTCTATGTCTAACTTAATTCCACCGTGGCCAGAAAATGTGCAAAATGTCGTCAAAAAGTTCATGGAAATGCATTTTATGTGCAAGCTATGCATATATTTCCTTTTTTGCACAAAAAATAAACATTTTAATTCAATTTTTGCATAAATTTTTAAAATTCCCTCCTATTCTTCATGGTTTCAGTTCTGTTAAATAAATTTTTTTATGGCCCTAGCACACGATCTATCTTGGTGAGTTTTCCATGTCCACTTGAAAAGTGTATTCTACTGCTGTTGGATAGAATGCTCTATAAACATCAATTTGATCAAATTCCTCAATGGTGTTGTCCTTGTGACTTGCATCACTCCTGATTTTCTGTCTGCTTTTCTGTCAGTTACTGCGAGAGGACCGTTGAAATGTCCAATGATGATTGTGGATTCTTTTGTTGTTGTCATGTTTTGCTTCGTGTTTTTTAAATATTTATTTGTTTATTTGAAAGTTACAGAGAGAGAGAGGGAGGGAGAGACATCTTCCATCTGCCGGTTCACTCCCCAAATAGCTGCAACAGCCGTGGCTAGGCTGGACTGAAGCCAGGAACCTAGAACTCCATCTCCTCTCCAGTGTGGGAGTAGTGGGACAAGGACTTGGGCTGTCTTCTGCTGCTTTCCCACGTTCTTTAGCAGAGATCTGGCTCAGAAAAGGAGCAGCCAGGGCTCAAACTGGCACCCATTAAGATGCTGGCATCACAGGCAGCAGCTTAACCTGCTGCACCTCAATGCTGGCCTCTGCTTCTTGTTTTTTGAAGCTCTATTATGGGAGGAACACACATTTAGGATTTTCTGTTTCCTTGATAATTACTTCCTTAATTATCATAAAGTATTTCTCTTTCTCTTTTTTTTTTTTTTTTTTTTGACAGGCATAGTGGACAGTGAGAGAGAGAGAAAGGTCTTCCTTTACCATTGGTTCACCCTCCAATGGCTGTTGAGGCCAGCCCATCGCGCTAATCCGAAGCCAGGAACCAGGTGCTTCCTCCTGGTCTCCCATGCGGGTGCAGGGCCCAAGCACTTGGGCCATCCTCCACTGCACTCCCGGGCCATAGCAGAAAGCTGGCCTCGAAGAGGGGCAACCCGGACAGAATCTGGCACCCCAACCAGGACTAGAACCTGGTGTGCCAGTGCCACAGGCGGAGGATTAGCCTATTGAGCCACGGCGCTGGCCTCTCTTTATTTCTAGAAATACTCTTTATCCTAAAGCTCACCTTAATATTAAAGTAGCCTCACCATCATTCTTCTGGTTATTTTTTAATAGTATATTTCTTGTAGAAATCACATAGTTGCCTCTCTATCTAGTCTGATGATCTCTGCTTTATAAGTGGAGAATTCAACTCATTTAATTATTTGTTATTAATTAATTTTTAAGGGTTCGGATTATACATTTTAATAACTATACATTTTATGGGGGATATTTCAAGAGCTATGCACAGTGTACGTCAATCATACTAGGTTTAATTATTGATATCTGTGAAAGAAACAAGAATTAGGAAAGTGTCTTCCACATTGACTCACACATTTACCACTTCTGGTGCTCTTGATTCTGTTTCGTAACCTCAGCCTCCACTTGGGACCATTTTCCACATGCCTGAAGAAGTTCCCTCAACATCTCTCACAGTAAGTTTAATATCCATCATTTTTTTGTATTTAACTTTGAAGGATTTTTTATATAAAATTCTAAGTTGATAGTTGTTGTTTTTCCCAGCACTTTAGAGATGTATTCTATCTTCTTCTGACTTGCATAGTTTCGGAAAGGAAATCCTTTGTTAGTCTTACTTTCTGTTTCTTTTCTGTAACTCTGTTGCTCTATTTCTCTTTCAAGATTTTCTCTTTATCATTGCATTTTGAGAATTTGATTATGATATGTGATGGTGGTGATGGTGGTGTATGTCTATGTGTATGTATGTGTCTGTTTGTTATGTGTGTGTCTATGTGTATGTGTGTATTTGTGTGTATGGGTATGTGTGTGTATGTGTATGTGTGTGTTTCTCCTACTTGGAGTTCACTGAGCTTCTTTTATCTGAAGGTTCATAATTTTTATCAAAATTGGAATTTTCAACCATGTCTCTTCAGATACTTTATGTCCTGTTTTTTTTCTCTCCTCTTCTTTAGGAAGTCTAATTGCATATGCAATAAATCAGTCAATATTACCTTATAGATTCATGTGGTTTTATTTTTTAAAATGATCTCTCAAGGCCGGCGCCGCGGCTCACTAGGCTAATCCTCCGCCTAGCGGTGCCGGCACACCGGGTTCTAGTCCCGGTCGGGGCGCCGGATTCTGTCCTGGTTGCCCCTCTTCCAGGCCAGCCCTCTGCTGTGGCCAGGGAGTGCAGTGGAGGATGGCCCAGGTGCTTGGGCCCTGCACCCCATGGGAGACCAGGAAAAGCACCTGGCTCCTGGCTCCTGCCATCGGATCAGCGCGGTGCGCCGGCCACAGCGCGCCGGCCGCGGCGGCCATTGGAGGGTGAACCAACGGCAAAGGAAGACCTTTCTCTCTGTCTCTCTCTCTCACTGTCCACTCTGCCTGTCAAAAAAATAAATAAATAAATAAATAAATAAATAAATAAAATGATCTCTCTGCACTTCCTTTTATACAGAATTTATTCCTGTGTCTTCAAGTTTGCTCATCTTTCCTTCTTTAAAGCTTAACATTTTGTTAATTCTATCAAGTAAATGTTTTTCATGTATTTTATTTTTTTTTAGTCTCCAAAAATTTTATTTGTTTCCTTTTATCTTCAAATTTCCTTATTATGGTCATACTTTTCTTTATATTCTTGAACATATTTATGATGGCTACTTTAACATCTTTCTTGGTAGTTCTATCTATATACCTAGCATATGTCTACTGATTGATCTTTTTTCTCCTGGTTATTGGCTACATTTTCCTGCTTTATGACATATCTGATGATTTTTTACATTGGATGTTGACATTATAAATGTTGTATTAATGAATATCTGTATTTTTATTTCTTTTCCTTTTGAAAGTGTTGAGCTCTGTTTTGGCAAGCAATCCAGCTCCTTGCTTTTCATCTTGATTCCTTCTAGGCCTGTTTTCTAAGCTTTTCTTTTCTGTCACATATTTAGTGTAGCTTCATTGTTTAGCATCCCTACAAAGGGGTGAGCCCCTGTGACCAATGAGGCTTCTCTGCTCTAAACATTTGCCCACCCTGTGAACCTACAGGTCCTTGATTGTGTTTTGCCGCAGCTTCATTAGGTTTTTATTCCACACATGCACAGCATAATAATTAGCAAAGACTCAGGGTCTTCCACAAAGGTTTCTGGAGCTCTGTGAGGGTATTCAAAAAGACTATGGAAAATGGACGTCAAGATGAGTCTGCTGGCCGGCGCCGTGACTCACTAGGCTAATCCTCCGCCTTGCAGAGCCGGCACACCGGGTTCTAGTCCTGGTCGGGGTGCCGGATTCTGTCCCGGTTGCCCCTCTTCCAGGCCAGCTCTCTGCTGTGGCCAGGGAGTACAGTGGAGGATGGCCCAAGTGCTTGGGCCCTGCACCCCATGGGAGACCAGGAGAAGCACCTGACTCCTGCCATCGGATCAGCGCGGTGCGCCGGCCGCAGTGCACCAGCCGCAGCAGCCATTGGAGGGTGAACCAACGGCAAAAAAGGAAGACCTTTCTCTCTGTCTCTCTCTCTCACTGTCCACTCTGCCTGTCAAAAAAAAAAAAAAAAAAAAAGACGAGTCTGCTTGTGTGTGAAAAATAATTTGAAATACATTCATAGTTTTTTCATAATACACATTCGCCATAAGCTTATTGAAGACATCTTGTACTTCCGCATAGTGTCCTCTTCTTCAGAATTCTAAACTGTAACTTCCAAGCTCCTCAGCTCCCCGATTTCATTCTCCTCAACTGTGCTCCAGAAACTGTCTCCAAGGAGCAGCCGTGGTAGTGATGGGATTGGCCTTGTCTGTTTTCATTTCCTTAGGAATCACAACCCTGAGATACCTCTGTCCCACTTCTGAAAATAGTCATTTCATAGAATTTGTCCAGTTTTCTAGTTTGCTATGATAAAGCTGGTCTCTATGACTTCATCCTGGAAACAAACAAAACTACAGGTAAATTTTTAAAAATTGAAAAATATCATAGCATCTCCCAACTGTATCTGGCCATGCAGCACTTCTTACAGAATACCTATTGATATCTTTAACAATTAATATTCCTTGGAATACATCTTGGGAAACTTTGCATTGAGGAACATGATCCTTAGAATAGGTATAGGAATATATCAGTTATCAGATTGGATAAGCTTAATACATTCTTAATATAGTTGTTTATCTTCAAATGATTTATTTCTCAGTATGTTTGGTTTGGTCTGTTCTTTTAATTTATGATGATTTTTTCAGGGGGCCGACAGTGGTGCAGTAGGTTAATCCTCCGCCTATGGTGCCGGCATCCCATATGGGTGCCGGTTCTAGTCCTGGCTGCTCCTCTTCCAATCCAGCTCTCTTCTATGGCCTGGGAAAGCAGTGGAGGATGGCCCAAGTCCTTGGGCCCCTGCACCTGTGTGGGAGACTGGAGGAAGCTCCTGGCTCCTGGCTCCTGGCTTTGGATCAGCCCAGCTCCAACAATTGTGGTAATCTGGGTACTAAACCAACAGATAGAAAATCTCTCCCCACATACCTCTCTCTCTCTCTGAAACTCTGCCTTTCAAATAAAGAAAGAAATCTGTTTTATGTATTAATATATATTCCTGATCACAATAATAGAGCACACAGTGCACAATAAATCAAGTCCACATTAGCACACTTCCTGGGGTCCATAGATTTCCTATGTCTTTGACAATTGCAAACTTCTATTATCTGACATTACCACTTCCCTTTGAAAATCTCTAAAAATCAATTATGCTTCAGAATAAGAGTGTGATAGAATTTACCAGGAGTTAGAATATGCATACTGCAGAAGGCCTTCAAAAGTCTATAGAACATGCACACACTATGAAAAACTACACAAGGATTTCAAAATCTGCTTTTGAAATATTTATTTATTTATTCGAAAGGCAGAGTTACAGAGAGGCAGAGGCAGAGAGAGAGAAAAAGCTCTTCCATCTGTTGGCTTATTCCCCAGATGGCCACAATGGCTGAAGCTGAGCCAATCCGAAGCTAGGAGTGGACTGGCCACTTCAGGACTTCTTCTGGGTCTCCCACATGGGTGCAAAGGCCCAAAGACTTGGGACCATATTCCACTGCTTTCCCAGGCACATAAGCAAGGAGCTGGATCAGAAGTGGAGCAGGGGTTGGCGCTGTGGCACAGCAGGTTAAAGCCCTGGCCTTCAGCACCAGCATCCCATATGGGCTCTGGTTCGAGTTCTGGCTGCTGCACTTCTGATCCAGCTCCCTGCTGAGCTTGGGAAAGCAGGATAGGATGGCTCAAGTCCTTGGGCCCCTGCATCCGCATGGGAGACCTGGATGAAGTTCCTGGCTCTCGGCTTCGGATCAGCTCAGCTCTAGTCGTTGCAGTTATTTAGGGAGTGAACCAGCAGGTGGAAGACACCTCTCTCTCTCTCTCTCTCCCCCCACCCCATCTATCTATCTATCTATCTATCTATCTATCTATCTATCTCTATCTCTCTATGTAACTCTGTATTTCAAATAAATAAAATAAATCTTTAAAAGATCAGAGAAGCGGGACAGCCGGGACTCAACCTGGTGCCCATATGGGATACTGGCACTGCAGGCCGCAGCTTAATCTGCTATGCCGCAGTGCCAGCCCTCAAAATCTTTTACACCAAAATGAACTTACCCTTTAATCCCTCCTTTACTCATACTTTTAAAAGTATCTTTACTGTTGTTCCTTATATTTAACCCTGACAGCTAACAGCGTTATCTTCTGCTCACACAGGTACCCATGATGTGAGACCAGACAGCTTGTCACATGGGACTCAGGTGAATCTTTGCTTTGGAGCCACACACAGCCTGTCATTTGTGGTTGTGTCCCATTGCATGGCAGACCACAGAATGCCTCTGCCCAAGGTTTGTCAGCTCACCTCTAGCTATGATTCTTTCTGCTTTACGCTTTCTCACAATTTGATATTCAACAGTTGAACTACCTAGCACAAGCATGGGCCACAGTGTGTGTGTGTGTGTGTGTGTGTGTGCATAGAAAGGCTTCCAACCTGGAACTGAATGCCTTGCTGAACAATGGCTGTGCATGGCTCCGCCATGACGCCTCTGCAGGTGTCACTGAGCAAACATGTGGTCCCAGACGTGCAGGTCTCTCATTCCAAAGCTCCCTGATGATGCGGCTCCGTACTCGGTCAGCACCAATGATACACATTGCACGTATGCGCAGATGAAATTGCTGCAGACACACTTCCAGAAGCCTGTGCTAACTTTGTGAAGCGCTCTCCTGTCCCTTTTGGATGAGCCGATGGAGGATTTCTGATAAAGTATTGATCAATGATAGGATTTTTGTGGATAACTGATGTCAATGATTCTCAAGAATCACACAGCATGATTGTTGATCGTGCAAATTGTAACACCCGATCTCAGAGGCTCTGACAAGGCTCATTTGTAGCCCAGGAATCTGCATTTTGACAATACTTCTAGGGTACAGGTGGTGCATGGATTATACTTTGAGGAACACTGAACTATAAACAACCCGGAAGTCAATAAGCAAATATGTCACTGAATAATAGCCATAGACTCTACATATATGAAACTGCATTTTATAAATGAGTAAAGAAGATATTCTACGCTGGTTTTTAATCCACGACTGCATGAAATTTGACTTTAACTTTGTTGGCTGACGTAATGTCTAGCTCACCTTTGAAATCCTGTACCCTAAAAAAGATCACCAGGACTTTTGCAGGATGGTTGACCTTGGTAAAATACCAAGCAGCACAGATGGCATGTCCAAGAATCAGATGACGTGCTCTAGTTAAGTTAGGAGACACCTAAGCAAGCAGAGATGGACTTGTTTTCCCAAGCAAACAAGGTCTGGAACTTCATCCCATTTTATTTGTACCTAAAACAGCATCGTTGAAGCTTCATCGACTCTGTCAAATATTAGACAAAGATACACTTGACCTGCAGTGAAGTCGCAGGAATTTTTAAACATTTAACTCCTAGTGTGTATGAGTATGAAACTAAGTTGAGCAGAACCCATTAATGTCACAGTGATCGGTTACCAATGGAAATAAATAATTCATGATGAAGGGAATTAGTCTAATTAGCAGGCAGTTTGAGTCCTTTGATAAAACCCAGCTCTAATTCCGTGAAGGGCAGGAAGTGCTGTCATCAGTCAGCCCTGAAAAGATTAGCATCTATTATGAATGAGGTTCGTCACCCTCGCGAAGTCGTGTGTGTCCTGGAGACAAACTTAATATGTTCCAGAATGGGACACAGTTTGTCTCACCAACACATCACGATTCCTACCAGGCTATTGTACGTAATAACAAGCAGAGATCAGCGCTCTGTCCTATCATTCGCACCCTTGTCCATCATCCTGACAACTGTGCAAATATATTTTCCATGCAAAGGAGGGAATGTGCCCTGCATACTTGCAAAATTGCACAAGATGTCAAAGAAAATATGTGCTACTTTTTCACCCACCAAA